TGTGGTCTTCTCTGTCATAAACTTCAACCCCATTCAAAGGCAGGTATGTGAGAGACCTATCTGACTCCATCGACTTTTTTTTTTTTTTTTTTTTAAGATTTTATTTTTTTTCCTTTTCCTCCCCAAAGCCCCCTGGTACATAGTTGTATATTCTTCGTTGTGGGTCTTTCTAGTTGTGGCATGTGGGACGCTGCCTCAGCGTGGTTTGATGAGCAGTGCCATGTCCGCGCCCAGGATTCGAACCAACGAAACACTGGGCCGCCTGCAGCAGAGCGCGCGAACCCAACCACTCGGCCACGGGGCCAGCCCCTCCATCGACTTTTTATACATTCAAACCACAATCTGACCAGAAAGTTATTTTTGTTCTCCTGACGAGATATTTATTTCAGACGTTAATTGCTGCTGCTCTGTGTGTACCTGCGGCTGCATCATACACTGCAGAGACACAGGATGAAAATACATCTAGGAGATTGTAATTCAGGGGAACACAACTGAAATGCTGGCGACACCGCCAACTCAGTGGAAAGGAGAACAGGTTTCTTCCCTTTAGCTGGAGGTGGGAAAGGCTTTAAGTTAAATGATGAATTTCTCCTGTTTCTCAGCACCCTGAATAACCAGATCTCCTGGTTCATCTGCAAACGAAGATTAATTTACAATTTACATGCAAGAGCCATGTGTACTCCTCCAGCACACAGCCTTCTATGCTTGCTCAGAGTTGCAGAAACAGTGCTAAAAATGTATCACTCAGGGTCCCCACAGGAAAAAGATGGCACAAACTGGGCCACCAGAAGAGTTTAATAAAGAGATTATTTATACGGGTTTGGGTATGGTACAGGGAGAGTAACAAGGGACAGGAGCTACTCACAGCCAGGAGCTCCAGGCTGGAAGTGTCAAGGGGAGGAACTGGTTACCAGAACCCAGAGAGAGCAGCTACTGGGAGAGGGTCCCTCATAGGAGTGGTGGTCTTCAGTAGGGGGACATGGCCAATCCAAGATTTCCTTGGCCTAGTGATGCAGTCCATACAGGTCAGTCCCCTGGAGCACACAGGCAGATAGAGAAGGGTGGGGAACACACCTGAAGGGCTGATGGAAAATGCTCTGCACAATATCTAACTGGAGAATAATTTAAACAACAAACTAACTAACTAACCTTATGATATAGCCATATGGAATACTATGCCTTTTAGAATGAAGATCTGAATCCAGGTCTTTGTTGACCTTGCCATGGTAAGATATCCACAATATGCAGCAATTAGGTTAAGAAAAGCAAATTATAAATCAGTAAATATACTAAGACTCTCAAATTTGGATATACATCAAATGTTAACAGAAGTTAACTACGTGTAGAGAGATGTAGGTCATTTTCCCACTCCTTATCTATGTATTTTTAAAGTTTTATTCATGTACAGCTTCTCAGTTTAACTTCTCTTGGGCAAGGAGTCATTAAGACAACAAACAGTGCTTTCATGACTTGACTGGAGAACACAGAAAATATCTACTGAAGCTTGGATTTAGATCTCCTCTTAGGCTGAGTTCTTTTAAAAGCCAACTCTATTACTTCTTCGTCACCAAAAATGTAACAGAAAACAGGGAGAATGCTAGTGTCACCAACGGATACTGTCACACAGGTTTACCTTAACCAGGCTAACTTTCAGAGGTTGTCCTGTCCTGGGTAACTCAACAAGGGCTGCGTTAACCACCTGTGAAGAGCAGTCTGTGTTTGGAGAAAGTGACTCCTCATCTATCAACCGAGAATGTTCCTGACTGTAAAACATCACCCCAAACGGCCAATCAAGTAGCCACTGCTGACCATTATGTGGAAGAATACATTTGAAAAAGAAACAGAGAGAGGGCTGCAGATTTCTCTTGAATCTCTCTCCTCCTCTCGGGGAGTTAGGCAGAAAGGCTCATTAATTTCTCCGAGAACCATGGAAGGTGCCTGCCCTACTTTCCCAGGCTGAGCAGGCTCCTCCGTCTCTGGGGTGGGGCAGAATCGTGCAGGAGGTCACGGATTGAAAGGCTTGAACTTCACTGCTTCCCAGTCACTCCGACACCACTGGACCACCCCCCAAAAACCTCTGCCATTCTTAAGGTCTGAAGGCACTCCAGGCCTCAGTTCCCATTCTCTAAAGCTCCAGGCACAAAAATAATACTAATATCTACCACTTACTCAATACTTTAGGCATACTAGGAACTTGTGCTAGGCACTTAAATGCATGTCTGATCGGTAAAAACAACTCTGAAACACAGATTTGACTGCCTGTTTCACAAATAAGGATAATAACACTGAGGCTTCCTGGGGCCAACCATGAATCAAGGTGGACTGACTGTGGAGCTGAAGCTCAAAGCTGGATCTGCTGACTCCGTGGCCTAAGCCCTGTGTACTACGCTGCACTGCCTTCCAGGAGAGGCCTGGCCAACTCACGCACAACTCCATCTGTGCTGGGATCCCAGCTGTCCAAGCCCTGGAGCCTTCCTTTGACCTCTGAGGTCCCATGGTAAAGAGCTGAGCTGAGCCCCAGCTCCTTCAGAGCAGCCTTCCTCACCTCCTGGGGATCCAATCATGACAAAGAAAAAAAATCATCAAGCACAAGATACAGCAAAGCAGCCTTCAGGCACTGGTCAGGAGAAGGGTGAGGAGCAGCCATTAACTAATGTCCTATTCTAGGAAAGTCTGCCAAAGCCCTGGGTTTAGGGCCAAGCACTGGGGGAAACACTTCTGAAGTTTCTCTTTAGATAGAGATATCCACAAAAACCAAGTATAACATGACTCAAAAACAATGTTGAAGGGCTGTGCACAAAGGGCCCTGTTAATGTTTACTATGCAAGCAAAGCTCAATCTTCTGAATTCTTTCCAGGAAGACCTCAGTTGCCTTTAGTTTTTTCGGATTTAAAATGTAACAGTGCTCCTGGGGATTCAGCCACACTACAGACTGGCCCAGGACACTAAACCTTGAACAGTCCCTGGGTTCACTGTACCCATCTGCAATCTCTATGTGCAAATGAAATACCGGCATACAAGCCTCCTCTCATCAAGATGCCAAGAGACAACCAGTTTATTAGCACCAACAGCCAACTTCAGTGAAGCCAGGCTGTGCCTCTGTGATTTCATGTTTCTTCACCAGGAGGAAATGGTGGCGCACATAACACTGCCTGGCAACGCTGCACGCTAACAGAGCATGACTATCTGTGAAGAATCACCAGGCACTACTGACCTCTCGGGTACACAGTATGCTCAGGAGACGGGGCCAAAAAAAGAGACAGGGCCAAAAAAAGAGGTACTTGATTAAATTGGTAAGCTGTCTTGCAGCCCATGTGAAGGACTGAGATAGTGCCTTGACATCAAATCAAATACTCACTTCTCAGCCTCACGGCCAAGCCCTTCTCACTTTCTTATTTCTAATTCTCCCCTGTACAAACTCTACACTCTAGAAAACGACCTGAACTTTAACAAACCCCACACCTTTGCCCATGATATTCTCTCCACCTGCAATGTCCTTTCTTCACCCCACTAGTTTCAAGCTGGTTTTAACGAAAACACTTGTTTCTTTAATTCCATGTCAAATTCCACTACTCTGGGATCTTTCCTGAAGCCCCTTTCCAGCCTCTCACACCTCTTGTCGCCACCCACCCCACTTCCAGGGATGTTTTCCTCTATTGCTCTCTCCTGCCATTTCAGAGCATACTGCACTTATCTCACTCTTAATCTGCCTTATCCTATACTTGACTACAAGTTAGTAAAACCCTGTTTTCAGAAACAAAGGCAGAGCACAGATTCCTACAAACACAGACACTTGTGTGTGTAATCTCCTAGGGGCCAGGAGCTCTCTCACTCACACTGATTTTCTTTAAGTGGCCTGGCATCTAGGAGACTCACCAAATCTTGGTTTACTAAACAGTGACAACTTATATTGCACAGAATTCCTCTGTCCCTAACTAAACAGAGTCCTAAACCTCATTTTATCCAGAGATAAGAGTGCTGTAGGAATTGCCCCTGCCCTGTTCCCACAGTAGGAATGGGATTAGCTTTGGTTTACATAACTTTGCAGCTGCAACCTGAATAGAGTTGGGTAGGGCATTTAGTCTACAGATTGTTCAAATGGACATGTCAGCTGTACCGTTCCTCTCCTCTTGGAGAGCTAAATTCATGCCTTGAAAATATTCCTGGGAGACAAACGCACTTCAAAGGCAGCTTCCTCCCAGCAAAAAGCCTGCAAGGGTAGCACTTTAACATTCCTTGGGTGTTTACCAGTCTTTGAGAAACACATTCTTCTGCCCAATAAGACACGTCACAGGTCACTGAAAAATATTTGGGTACATATTTCCAACTATTCTATAACAACAGTTATGAAAGGAACCTGGGCCTCAGACTCTGAATGTTTTCTCCTCACTAATCTCTCTTTGTTTCCTGAACCATCTAGCTCTCTGCCTCACCAACCCGGGAATGTGGGATGGGCAGGACGCTTCTGCTGGGAGAGGCATCTGGTCTTCCAGGGCAACACAGAATAATCACGAAGGAGCAGGAAACAGAAAGGCCCCCTTCTGATTCCCTTTCAGCAGCTTCTCCCAAAAGCCGCCCTCCCCCTCCTCCTCCTAGCTAAGCCTAGATCTGCTCTCTGCCTCCTGAAGACCATAGGAAGTACTCGGCTCTTCTTAAGCATCTTCAGGGTGAGCATGACTCGCTCAATGGGGCTGATGGGATCCAAATATTTCCAAACAGCATGTCATTTCCAGCAACTGCCTCTCCCTCAGTCCTGTTCTGCCGGGGCCTCCACCCTCTAGCTTAACCATGAATGGACCTGTCCTCTGCGATCCAGGCAGTACAATCCCCTGCCCTGGCTACTCGGGGCTGGCCTCCCTCACGGCTGTCAGAAACACTCTGGTCACAGTGTGGAGGAGCCAGGGCAGCCCTGGCCCACAGCCTGGTCCCAGGAGATGGCACAAGGGGAGCTATGGTGGGCTGCGGCCAGCTCAGTTTTCTGTGACGTCACGCAGCCTTACCTCATCCCACTCCGAGGCGAAAGAGGGCGACTTCTCTAGCCTCTTCTTCCCAATGCTGCAGTTGGACAAGGATTCGCTCCGGCTCCCCATTGTAGCGTCCTCCGTGGGTGAGCAGGTCAGGAGATCGGAGTCAGACTTGGACAAGCTGCGGCTGAGTTTGAGTTCAGCTTTGGGTTTGCTGGTGGGAGGGGCCCGGCTCCTGGCCCCGCTCCGGTCTCCTTCTTCCTCGGCACCACCAGGGTGTGAAGATGCTGTGTGAGTCAAAGTTTCGGGGTACGATTGGCTGTTGGTGGTGGGCAGGCCTGCTGGATAGCCCACTCTTTTACTCTGGTCCAGGACACTGGGCGGGGAGGCTCCAGGAGCGTGCACACTTGTCTCCTCCAGCTGCATGCTGGCCTCGTGGCAGGCACCCTGTGAGGGGGACCCTTCTGGATGGCTCTGGCCAGCGGCAGAGAGCAGCTGGAAAGGGTCCTGCCCCACCTCACACACCGGGGAGGAGCCGTGGAGGAGACCTGAGAACTGCTCTGGGACCTGCCCGTCCTGCCCCTCCGCAGAGTCCTGGCTCCGGCTGCTGCTGCTCCGCCTGTGGTCTTGGAGTGGACAGAGAGACAGAGAAATAAAAAAATTAAACGTGGCAAAAATCAACAAAGTTCCAATGCAGCAAGCATACAGCAGAGCAGAGGAATTCAAAACCAGAGGGAAAGAAAGGGAAGCTGAATGGGCTAGGGAGAGGGCAGAGGAAGAGGAGAAAGGAAGGAAGAAAACAGTTTCATACTGTTCTTAAAGTTCAATTTGTACCCAAAGTCAGAGCATTTATGAAATTCCAAACACGGGCCTGATTAATGCTATCTGGCAGCCTTCCCTGTTGTTAGATTTCTGTTAACATTAACGACCAGATCTTGCTATATAAGGCGAGAAGAAGTGCTAACTATATCCTACAGAAAGGACACAAGTGAGGAGAGAGTGAGTGAACACGAAGTAAAAGTGAGAGAGAAAGAGAGAGAGCGCGCCAGTGAGCAAGCATGAGCAAGCCAGACTCACTTCTGGAACATCTGATACATTTCCATAAAGGCCAAAGTGTTATTTAGAGCCACCCGCCCTCCCTTCCTTTGGCAAGCAGCAACAGAGGAAAAAAAATGGAGGTCATGATCCACAACCTGCAACTTCTGGAATTCCTTAACTGAAAGTGCAAAACAAAACAGCAGAGAAATAACTGCTTCCTTCCTCAGAGGGGGCTATTCAGAGTTCCACGCCTCATCCTTCCTTCCTCAGGGAGCAGACTGTTTTTTTTTCTGAGAATGTGCACATCTCACTCCTTCCAAAGCCTCCCAGCTGCTCTTATTTGTTTAAGTTTAACCTTAGTTGATCCACCGAAAACAAAATGGTCTAATTTGTTGATGCCAAGAGACATTTGCAGTATCAAGACCTCCCTACCATCCCAGAAATCTGACACTACCGGCTCATGAGGCCAACTACTACTGGACACTCACCCAAGATATCAAATATCTCTGCCCTGAAGTAGCATAAATAATTGACCAAATCAGAGTCCAACATCAGTATCACACTGGGACACCCAACCAAGAGTCTCGCTCCGCATGAACTCAGACCCATTAGAGATTTTAAGCCACATCAGCCAGATAGATACCCACTCTGTGTCCAGTACTAACTCATATCCCAACGCTAATATTCAATGCTATTTTCTCTGTAGGTGGAATCTATGGTACATACACCAAATGATTCCTGGGTCTGCCCAAAGCTCCCAAGAAGCTTGGAGATCAGAGATCATGAGATCAGAGAATCTTAGAACTGAAAAGTCAAGTTCAGCTATTCTACAGATGAGAAATCTAAGACCCTCAGGGCTTTAGCAGTTTGTCCAAGGTGGTGGGGGAGCAGGCTTTAACCCAGGCATCCGAACACCCGGCTCTGGTCCTGGCTGTGCTGCTCTCCGGCTGTGTGGCTTTGGCAGTGATCTCATCTTGCCCGACGTCAGCATCTAAAATAAATGGGTTAGACTGCATGGTCCTTAAAAATCCCTTTTATGTTATGATAGTGATGAGAATCCAAGTCTCCACCACACTGTGACTGCAAACTTCTCCCCCTCAGCGGGTGCTGCATGGCCCTGCCTGGGTGCCTCTCCTGTTACTGTCTGCACAGCACCCCCTCTCCCTCAGCTTGCCTGTAGCCCCGGGGCCCCTTCCTGAAGCCAGTTCCACAACTGAACAGGATGGTCAAGTGAGGAGGGGTGCACGGTACAAACATGATACACAAAACACGCTCTTCACTGCCCATGCATGATGCTAGTGTCCCACAATGCTGGCTCTTCCAAGACAGCCTTTAAGGAAGGATCCCAACAACCAGCTCGCATAATGGGCCTGTCAACCTGAGATCCGAGCAGGGACATGGTTCCATTCACCCCACCCTCTCAAGAAGAATGGTTCAGTCTCCACAAGCTGTTCAGCTTTTGGCAAGTCTGCAGAAGCTGCAGAGGGGGCAGCCAATTAGCTCCACTTTATAGCTCTGAGTACTTATCCACAGGAGCCCAGAAGTATGAACTTTGGCATCTCTTTCCTCTACACTTGACTGCTTCAGGACTTTCACACCCTTAACTCACAAACTCTACACCCCCAAAGTCAGGTCCAGAGCATTGAATAAGCACTGAAAAACTTGAATCATTTCTCTGGGGAAGAAGAAATGCTGCATACATAAGAGTTCCAGACAGCTTAACTCAGGCCCCAGGAAGCCATGACTTCAGGGCTACGAAAACCACATAGGATGACTGGCAGCCTGAACGAAGCTGCCCTGTGGTGTTGCTTGGTGGGGCCACAGGGAAGATGACATGTGACCATCTAATGGTGGTTCAGGCCAATGGCACTTCCTAGGAGAGGTCGATGGGGAGAGTCAACCAGGCTACAAAGTCTGCCACTTCTAGCACTATATTCTAATAGCCAACTTCCTATAGATCCTGGGCCAAGATGCGATGTCCCTCTGACTGCATTTGAACACAAAAAGAGGACTTTGGTAACAGGAGCACAGACTTCTACTTCTTTGCACCAACTTTTAGCCTCTTATTTAACTTTTTGGGAGGTGGGGAGAGAGGAGTCCAACAACAAAAGAAAAACACCAAAGTCCAGAACTGGGAGCCAGCATGGCTCACACTGCCTGGGTGGACTCAGAACCCAGGCTACAGAGAATGTTCTGACTGCTGCTGTGGGAGCTGACAATGAAGGCCCTTGTCAAACAGCCACCCATTCATGTGAGCCATCAATGAAGAAAGAGAGACAGATGCCAAGAGCTCAATACCAGACAAATGGCAGGGGGAAGGAAGTGGGCAGAAAGAAGGAATGGAAACTTATGGAAGAAGGAAATATGTGAAGAGGAAGAATTTCTGAAGGTCATAATCCCATTACAGAAACCACAATCCACCAATACTTTATGGAGTATAAGAAATCATGGAAAGAGATTCTTATAATTACACGACTTACCCTGGCAATTCCCTGGGAAAGACACCTTGGTATTTGAAAAGTATGTCAAGATCTAAGAACCTCAGGGTCTTTTTTTTTGGTGAGGAAGATTTGCCCTCAGCCTCCTCTCCTTTTTTTGGCTTGAGGAAGACTAGCCCTGAACTAACGTCTGTGCCAATCTTCTTTTCCTTTATATATGGGATGCCTCCACAGCATGGCTGATGAGTGGAGTAGGTCTGCACCCAGGATCTGAGCCTGAGAACCTGAGCCACCAAAGCAGAGTGGAACTTTAACCACTCAGCCACAGGGCCGGCCCCAGAACCTCAGGATCTTATTAAGCTGGTGTTCTCTTTCCCATAAAAAACGATATCCAAGGCTAAGCTAGATTTCCTAGCAAATCAACGGGTGAGAAAAAGATCTGCTCAATGGTCCCTTCCTTCTGTAAAGTCAGGATAGTATTAGGTCTCTAAAGGACAAGGTGTTAACAACACAATGTACTGATCATGAGCCAGATCTTGACTACACAACTTTTCTGTGCCTAGTAGTCTCATCTATAATTTTGGGATCTTGACACTACTTATTTCATAAGATTGCTGTGAGAATTAAATTATAATTTTAAATGTAATTCTAATTGTAAAGCATTTAGAGACATGCCTGAGACATGCCAGCTCTCCACAGATGTTAACAATTGTTATTATTCTCCACACAAGATCTATTACAAAATATTTTGCTCACAGATGAGACCAACTATTTCTCTGTTCCTCACAGGTTTGTCCAAGGATCACCAAAGACAACATACATGGCAAGTACAAATATCCCTTGCCTTCATAATCCATACAACTCTTGACAGCAGAAGGAAGGGACAGAAGGTAAGATGGTGAGAGGGCTGAAGTGAGAACCTGAGACAGGCTCCACCACACTCCTGTAACCACAGATTCCATCAACAAGCAGGTGTGAAATGTCTACCTTCAGGGGGCACCCAGGAGATATAAAGATGAAGACACTGAATCTGCTCAATGGGCTGACCAGCTATGTGAAGAGACTAGCATATACAGAAATAACTAGAATTCAAGGCAAAAATTAATAGATGCTTTAAAAAAAGTATAAACCAAATGCATAGTGAGCAGAAAAGAAAGTGTGATTATTTTGAACCAATTGACTTCAGAAGAGGTAGCTTTCGAGCTGGACATTGAAGGAGAAGTAAGGCCTTGACAGGCTGAAAGAGAAGTGGAAATACATTAGAAAAAGCGAAGACATGAACCTCATGCCTAGGGACTCGTGGACTCGCAGAGGAGCATCTTCAGGCCTAGGGCCTTCCTTCTGATGGGAATCATTATGCTCCCGCCCGCGGAGCTCACAGCTTCCAACCCTCCTCCCTCACTGCCCTCAGCACTCCTTGCAACCTGACCTTCTAGGAGAGAAACAGGAGGGACTAGGACACAGGGAGGCTGTTTCCTTACTCTCCCCACACTTCAAGGCCAGCTGCTCCAGCGAAGATGACACAACAGCATGCTAATTCCCACTCCCTTCAACTTGCAATCTTTATTCATTCTGGGTGTTCATTTTCCTTTTACCCTGTAAGCTGCTGAAGCGAGGGGTCTTCTGTGCTGCATTTTAATTACTATGATGATCCATGGGGATCTCAAGGGCTTTTGAATAATAACATTTTAACGTTTGCACACTTTCAGTCACCTCTGCCTGCTTAAATTAGGGCTGAAAAATGCAGCTCGTGTGAGGAGTTGCTAAGTCAAATGAGTCCTCAGACCCAGAGCAGAAGGCTGGGGGACTCCAGTTTCCCAGACTGTTTTGCTTTTTTTGTTCCATAACGATTGGAACCCTCCAATATCTAGTCACTGCGGTGGGCATTGGAAACCATGTGTCCAGGAAAGTTCCTAAGTACATGGCTGCTTTTGGAGGGTCACTAAGCTATCCCCAAAATGAAGGTGCCAACTGGGTTATGCAGCCATTTGCTGGAGATTGTCATCTGGTAAGACAAATAGACTGAGAGTCCATTCTGGTCCACGGCAGCCAGAGAACTAGAACGAGAGCTGGACCGTGATTCAAGAGGCCCAGGTTATAGTCCCAGCCCCGTGATTTTCCTCTCTGGGTCTCTTTCAAAAAATGAATGG